CATACATATAGACTAAATATAAAGTCGATGTGATGTTCACCAGCCATGCCTGTCAACAAAGTTCCAACATTGGAATCAAAGCCGGGGCCAGCAACGTGACAGGACACGAGGACGGTTGAAAAATCCCACCTGAGCCCCATGCATCATTTTTGAACATGCGCCTCTCTCCAGCCAAACATATTACGCAATGTTTGGCTTGATAACATGAATGCATTTCATTGGCAAGCCCGTTGACAAGACAAAAACGCTCTTTTCAGGTCACATGGAGATATCTGTCCCCAATACAACAAAGGAAAGAATCAAGTAAGTTTGCACATGGCGATCCCCGGTCTCAAAGCTGCCAAGCGATTAAAAATCCCTTCCTGAACGATTTATCAAACTTTTCAGATTTTGTCAGGAACATTGCAGTAGGCAGCGGCTGATAAAACAGGTCACTTATTTGATAAAAAGACAAAAAACGGAAACAATGCCATGGCCAAAATGAAAACATCGGTCAAAAAGCAGTGAAATACTAACTGAAAGCTAAACAACTTCAACTTCATTTTTCACGTACTAGTTCAACAAGATACTCCAAGGATGCTTACGAGGATGCCTTCCAAAAAATACATTTCGAACATTTGTAAACACTGACAGCACCACTGATATTTCTTTGTATATCCAAGACTTTACTAAAGTCTTTGTGCCCCAAAAGATTTTGTTCTTTATGATGAACCATTGAGGTTGATAAAGTGCAAAGTAAAACAGCAAAGAAAGTGATTTCATTCTTCGTATGTGGGCGGGGGGAGAACTTCTTTGGAAGAGTTCCCCATTCACACCAAATGAATACAAAATATTTGTGACTCATTACAACTGATATTCTGACACATCATTTCAATCATGTTTTCCGTCAACCTCCTTTGCCATTTTAATCTGGAACCTCCTCCTACCATTTGACATTCAGTGACCAAGCCTCAGTTATTCCAAGTGGCGCACGTAATCTTCAATCAAGCCATACAGAATTGAGTAAACATGTCTGTCTGCAATGATTGAATTCACTCGAGCATTCGGTGACAAAAAGCCCACCGGATCCCCGTCAAAAACAGGCTGTTCAAAGCTCTCTTTGTGGGTGAGCTGTGAAGCGAGAGTAATGGGCCTTCAAGACAGCGTTTGGACACTGTGGCTTCTCGACCTGCTAGCATCGGGACCACAAACTAAAAGATTCCGTTGGACAGGCACTGAATTGATCCCCCCCCCCCCACGCAGCTGAATAGGCGCTGTCATTGGATGAGCTATCAGCCATAGAAAGGTTGGAAATGATGTCCACAGTCCATTCAGAAATGTAAGATTCAAGAAGCTTTTTAAATCCGCTCTTGAATATTTCACTAGCCACGTTGCACTCTTCAGGCGGGAGTTTTTCCAAACGCTTTTCAGACAGCTCTCATTAAACCTCTTCTGAAGTGCAGCAATCTGGACACCGAAGTTCTGAACAGTCGTAGGCAGTTCCTGAAGCAAGTTCAGTTCACTTTCCGAACACAAACACTTTCTCGCTGTCGAGCTGACAGTTGTCGATAGCAGTTATTTTCCCAGCGTTTCATGGACAGTAGTTTTCTTTTCTGAACTTTTTTGAAGATCAATTCAAGTAGCTTACCTTGACCGGATGTTCCATTTTGAGCAAGTTGCAAGAGGAGCACGAGCTTCGAATGATCCCAATAATGTCTAGCTGTACAACATCATCAACTTCCTGATACAATTAGGATGGAACACAACATGCTCAAGTCCTGAAACACCTCCCCAAGGGGGAAGAGGTCGTGTGGGGCTAGTTATGTCTATGTGTCTGTTTCTTTGTGAGGAGAGAAGCGTGGTAGTGAAAGCAGAGGTGTGGCTAAGAAGCAAACGGAATGGGTGTTGAGGTTGTAACCAAGATGCTGAAAACAATTGTGGACATGACCAAGGTATGACTAAAACAAATGAATCTGTATTTCTTTGAGTTCTTTTGGGGGTTCTTCAATTTGTCATTCTCACTCAAGTTGCCTTTATCACGAATGCCACTCTTTCGAGTCCAACTCCAAGAGCTTCCAGCAGCCTGTTTTAGATGTCGCCCCCGTTCCCAGTGAGCCTGTTCACCTGTGGGATGTTCCAAACAGGTCTTTGATGAGCATTCCTCAACTTTTTCCATCTTTTTTTGCCATGTTAATGGACCCTACCATTGTTTCTGCGCCGACAATGCGATTATGTTATGGTGGTTTACAAACTGGAAATGGGTCTTGAGGGAAGGCGACAAACATCATATGAATGGACGATTTAGCAATCCGTGTGTGCGACATGCATTCTCAATGTAAAAATAGAAAGAGCCATACATTAAGGTGTTGATGATAATCTCTAAATCTGATCCTGTTTTCGAATGGAGGCGTCTGTCAACATGAGAATGAGCCAACGAGACATGGACTGAGCTGAGCTGGAGATGGATCCTGGGAGCTTTTTGACTGATCAGCAGAAAGTGCCAGTAGAAGCATTGGGGACTTGACAGGCAGTGATGTTTGCAGACAGTCAGACCGTTACAGCCGCACCCACTCCGTTCGACAACACCCAACCCCCGCCTCCCTCCCCCCTCTACTTGCTTGCTCACTCATTTGCTTAACAAGTTCACTTGTGCGTAGGCCTACATGGGGTATGGCTGTCAAGTGATGCGCGAGACTGGCCCGCGGAGTTGTTGGCCCTCGCAAGCTGTTCACCTGCACCCCCCCGACCCCAACCTTTCCACTATAATCACTGGCACACACACACACACACACACACACACACACGCACGCACACACACACACACACACACACACTTTTCCGATTCACATTATATGAGCAATGGAGCTGAAATGTATTGTTGTATGGCTGTCTTTCCCAAGTCATTAGTTTACAAAGTTAAAAGCTAAATGCCACTTGGTTCCGGATTATGACTGTTGTGCCACCTTTCTTTCTTGTGCATCGTTTGATTATGAGACTCTTTTTAAGGCAGGCAAAATTTAGAAATCAAAAATGAGTTAGACATCTGCAGCGAGACAACAAAAGCAGTAGCGTTGAAGCATAATTTGGTTCGTTTGATCGCTGATAGGAGTAGCACCGTACACACATTGGCCAACAAGCAGTAACTCAAGTGACATTGAGTTTGTGGTTGTTGGCAGTCCATTAGGTATTACACATTTTTTGTGTAATTTCTCACATGAGATATGAAAGATCGTACGGCAGCTTTGCGTTCATTTACTTTGACATTCAAATTCTATTTGTATTTGTGGGAGCTAAACTCTGGATGAGAAGTGGGTGGCTTGGTGGGTGGATGGATGGATGCAACCAGAAAAAAAAACACTGTTGATTCAGTATCATTTAGTTTGCAACCAAAAGAAATACAACACATTGTCAGCCACAGATTACGACTAAGTCAACACCTCCGGGAAAAATTATTCGGCTCAATACAACGCTGGCCTTGGAACAGATGTTCAAAGCATTCACAAGAACCATTGCAATGAGGCCTTTGGATAGAAGCAAGCGATACACATTTTCAAATGACTTTCTTTCCATTTAATTGCGGGTCGACCTTTTTTAAGATTGGAAAATCCTGTTTTGCATCCACACATCTGAAGCACAAGAAAACCACAACCTTGCACAGCAACGAACTTGCAGAGCAACTCTTACAGTAGCAGGACGTGTGATCCAACCCAACACGCAACCCCCACATATGAGTTCTCGAGGCACACACAGTGCTTGACATTGCCGAAGCAGAAATGGACTAGCTGGCATGTGCAGGAGATGGGCATGCGCAGAGTAAGCTGTCCTTTTGGAAGCTCACCCTTGCCGTGAACCCGTCTTTTTCAATAGGATCCAGATTAACACTGAACTACATACTGTATCTGATCAAATTTGAAAGAGATACAGGAGGCTAAGTGCTTATGACAAGGTGTTATCTGCCAATGGAGAGATGACCCACTTCAACGGAGATAAGACCACCAACAAAACATTCTTCAAGATGTGAACCCTTTAACTCGAGCTAAAAACCGCGTGCCAACTTTTAGAAGCACCATGAAGACAACCAACTCCGTCAATCTGACATTCATGTTTTTTGAAATGTGGGAGGAAACCGCAGTACCCGGAGAAAACCCACTCAGGCACGGAGAGAACATTGAAATATCAATGAAGACCTTGACAATGTGAAATTCTATTTTGCCTCTCTTGGCTCTTGATTATGAAAAGGATTATTGTCTCGAGGTACAATACAATACAATACATCCTGATTAATAACATTTTCGAGTGAAAATGATCCTGACACTCGTGACACTATTGTGAGTGTTTCCGTGTATGCGATGCAAACACAAGTCGGTAAAACGATTTTGATGGGTGTTAGGGGAAGGCCCAAGCTAATGAACACACAACAGGTGGAAGACCCGTGCATATAATTTGAACATATATAAAACCTCTACAAAGCCAAAAGTTTTTTAAACTTTTTTTTTTTTTTATTATTATTATTTGGCATGGAATCCACATTTAAAGCATATCAAATTAAAAGGGGATTATTTTAAAACAATCTGGTATCTCTTAAATAAATGATCACTGAAACTTTGACAAACTACAGGCTTGACAGGACAAAAATGTCATTGCATTTTCAGACGGTAGAAAATACAGGACGTACGGCACACTGTAGGTGTTGGACCAAGAATGGATGAATCCCTTGGAAAAAAAAAATTGCTTTTCAACAAAACAGGCCTCATTATGTTCTTGGCACGGCACTGCGTAATGCAGAAAATCTGCTTATGTACACACCGATAATTTCTGTGAATCTGCTGAAGCTATTCTAGTTTTTTCCTTTCTCAAATTGGCTCCGATCTACTGAGTCACTAAAAATATCAATCATCATAGAAGGCAAGTTACATTTAATCTAAGGCTATATATATATATATATATTCTGTTGACGACTCAAAGTCAAAAGCAATAACTGCGCAATTAGCTCTGCGGATGTTTGAGAGTGCTAATGATCTCATCTAATATTTTATTCCAGTGAGAGGATGTCAGAACTGACCGCAAGCGCTCACTTCAATTAAATTCCAGTCCGTCTGAAATCCTTATTATTTCAATTATTAGTCGAGCACGTCAAAAAAATCAGAGGAAGTCCGACAATTGTCCAAACACCTTAATTTCAGCTTATCGCTGTGAGGAAGGGAGAATTTGAAACGTGTTTATAGTCAGCAGGGTAGCTAGATAAATTGCACACTGATTTTTAGGGGGGAAATTGCTTTAATGGACTGTGGTCTCTTCAAATCACTGAGACGGCTATGCACGCATTTCAAGTGCTTGACCACAATTAAAACAATCACGATTGATATGACGGCTGACAGGTGGGCTCCATCCCATTTTTTTGCTTGTGTGTGTGTGTGTGTGTGTGTGTGTTTGTGTGTGTGTGTGTGCGCGTGCGTGCGATCGTAAATACAGCCGCAAAAAGCGTTCAAAATGTAGTTGGTTTTTTTTTGGGGGGGGGGGGTTGTCTGGGAAAGTATGTGACATAAGATCCAGAAGTCAGAGTAAGTTTGAAGAGTTTTCCCCAAAATATGCCATTTCCAATTGAGGAAACTTTCCCTGCATTTAAACGTATTGGGAAATATAGCATCATTTGGGAAACTGGATGATCGCACAGGACCGTTGGGAAAGCAAATTCAAATTCTGAGATTCGTACTTCCTAATCAATCAAAGTGATGCATGAAGGCTTTTCTTATCCGAGAAAGTGGGCCGAGTACCTTAATGTTGACAGCTTCCATGCTGCCGCTCCTGACCAGAGAAAAAAAGCTTCACAATGTGTGTGAGGCCGGAGCAGGCGAGTTGAGCATGCTTGCCTGAAAACTCTGGAGTGTGCGTTTATGCCTCACAGTGTGTGTGCAAGTGTGAGTATTTGCCCACCGATCTCCGGCAAGCTGACTCAAGTCGCGACTGCAGCTATCGGAAACAGGAGACGAGGCCTTGGCTCAGAGCGTCGCAAGACGGCAGGCACGCACACACGCTTTTTGGTTTGAAGCGGCGTTTCATAAATAAGATGTTTACTGTATCTCGAGCTGAGCAGACAATTTAATTGTCAGTTGGGTGAAAAGGGGCCGCCTGGGCCAACGTGTTTGATTATAGCGGCTTGTGGGTGGGGTGGGCACTGGGGAGCATAAATATGGTCCTTTTCTGGACCCTTCTACTTTTCTACTCTGTCACTCTCATTCACACACACGGCGGTACAGCCCACTTCCTTACCAGTCCCATCCCTCACAGTGCGAGCCCGGACTTCCCACTGCAATTACTTATAAAAACTTTTCAGGGCCGCCACACGTGGTCGGGGTTTTAAAGAGCTGCGTCCCCCTCCTCACGTGGCGCGGGGGGTATTGAGTCGTCACAGACCCCCTGAATGATCACCGAAAAATAAGGCGGCGGCGACAATAGCTCGTCTTGATGAATTCAATTCTTTCAGGAGCCTGTGCCGTTGTCCAGGCAGCTCCGGGCAAAACAATCGTTTCTTTGATAGTCGAAGAAACGCGCTCGACTCGGTTGCTCCTATAAACTGCCTCTAACTACTTTCAAATTAGGATCTACACACAGTTCACCTCTGACCGGAACTCTGCTTTGTAGAAGTTAGAGCCGTCGGGCTTTCTCCACTGCCGAGAGCCAAAAGTGATGCGAGTCGTCGTACTTTAAAAAAAAAAAAAAAAAAAAAGTCAAACATCTGGAACTGACCTGGTCTGCAGTGGAAGCAGCAACGGTGTTGGATTCAGACATGATGTGATGCTGTGATCCAGTGGTGCTACTCAGCTGGACCCTGTAGGTGCCGTCATTCACACCTTGCCTCTCAGGTCCTCGGCAAACGAGAGGGCAGAAAACACAGGATTTGCTCCCTTTTGCTCTGGCTTGATTAATGCGGAATTACTTTCACCTCATTTCATCGGATGGCGCTCGGTTTCCTCTCCGCCTCTCTCGCTCATTCGGCATGGTAGCCCGCTCTCTCTCCCCATACCCCCTCCCTCATTCTGTGATCCCGATTCCCCCTCCCCTCGCCCTCTTAGCTTTTACTCACCCCGCTCTCTCTCCCTCTCTCGCTCCGCTCATTGATTTACTTTCTCTTTTTTGACCCTTTTTCAGTTGTATTTCACCATTTCAGGAATATGCGCCCCGCTCTCCTCTCCGCCACATCCACCTCCCGCTTTTTTCCTGCCCCCGCCCTCCTTGCGCAAAAAAAAAAGACACAGGAAACATCCACAGTCTTTCTCCGCTACCTCCACAATGAATGGCCTGTTGTCACTCCAGCACCTTGCCAGAATACATAAGCAGGAGAGGAGGGCGGATGGAGGAATTGGTGTGGTCTGTGTGTTGTGTGGAAATTGTACACTGATTGGCAGAATAAAGTACTTTGGGTCTAGAGCACGTATGGGCAGCAGCCAAGCGCTCTTTTTCTCTTCTCTCTCAACAGATTAAAGTTAAGAAACAAAAAAGTGACGTCAGGCTCGCCTGCCCCCCTTCGAGCTCTTTCTCTAATTTCTTCCACTTGTTTTCAGAGGCAGCTGCTGCAACTCTGAAGACCACCAACAATTCCCTTTCAGTGGCACTTGACTCTTCCAAATCCTCGTCTGTCTCTACAACCTGACATTGCCAATGCCCCTCGCCCCCCCCCCCCCAACCCGGCACCCCCTGCACACCAAACACACACATACACCCTCCGTCGTATCATGCTGAGAGCACAGCCCCAACTCCCCGGTCTGTTTTGTCTCACTCATTGTGCTTATTTGTCACCATAAGGCTAACTTCACACCCAAAAAAATCCAGAGGAAAAGAACACCAAATGCGCATACAAGAAAAAAAAGGCAGAAAAATGAACGTACAAGCGTGATGTCAACAAGAGTAGGAGCCAGGATGCAAAACAGGATGATGTCTTCCAATTCCGTGTCCAGTGACATAGTTCAAGTGATGTCAAATTCAACGGGTCACTGATCTGATGGTCTGATGGGTGTTTGAAGAAACATTGAACAACAACGTTTCACATGAAATGCGAAAACATGGCAAGACGATTCATTTGTGTCCTATTTAAAGCCTCAAAATCACATCATGGAATCATTGACAAATACCTGCACTGTCCAAAGTGCTGAGATTTAAAATAAATAAATAAATAAAACTTAACTACAACGACAACGGCGAGGTCAGGTGCAGCGAGCAGCCCCAACAGATTTACTAAACGAGGGTTGATAATGATCAAACCAAAGACTATTCTAGTCATGAGAAGTAAACAGACTGAATTCTCAACAGGTCCATAAATATTGGGACAATTCTCGCCTTTTTGGCTCCAAACACCACCACGACAGATTTGAAATAAAAAACAAGATGTGATTTAACCATAGACTTTCAACTTTATTTTGAGGATGACCACAATTTCCATACGTGCCTCCAACCAGTTTAAGTTCAGACTCTGAGCTGTAATTTGAGGATATTTACATCCAGATCAGGTGAGCGGTGTAGGAATGACAACAATATACAGTCGAACCTCGTTACAATGTACCTGCAGGGACAAAACGAATCTGTACAGTATAACCATAGTTCGTTGTCACCTTTTCCAATAAAATGGCCCCCAACTGCGAAGTATAATATAGTATGAACATTTATCGATGTAAAAACATGAACATATAATATAGTGTAAATATGTCCATTACAAATTTGTAAGGCACGAAACCAACAACTGTGGCGTTCGTACTTCATCTCCGAAAACATTGGGCGAGCAAATGTTACCCGCCATCGGCCGAGCTTCCTTTCCAAAGTCAGAGACAATTTCAGCCTTTACAGACGATGTTTACCAGCCATGTTTGTAGTAGTACCAGGCAGAAAGTACGACAATGTACCGAGAAACAGAAACATGGCCCAAGTTACTATTTATCAAATTGCAGTGAATGTTTGAGCCGAGCTTTCGTCAACAAAAGTGTTTGGCGATTGAAAGTTGTCGTATTAACCTTACATATTAACCAATAGTCGCTTCCTATGAACGGGATGTTCTTTCATACTTCACTGAGCACAGTAGACCGGCAGAGAGAGATGATGAGGCTACAGGTGACTTTTTTTCCGAGTGAAAGTTGCAAGTCGGCTTTCAGGCTCGAATGAAAACAACGCGTGAATCTAATGAATGACGACGTGTTTAGCAAAAACAATCATCCATCCAGAAAGAAAGAAAGAAAGAAATGGCACCGCATGACTTGGTGTCATGTAATATCTATGGGGGGGGGAAGCTTTTCCACTAAAAACTCAAACTCAAATGAGGCCAATTTGGAGTTACACTGATTACATCTTCCTCAATCAGAATTTATGTCCTTTAAAGTAATTAGGCTAATATCACTTCACCTCTCATGAGCCCAGCAAGCCTGCGATGGGACGTCTCACTACGACAAAGGCCCTCAAATGAAAGAAGTACCCGTACGACCGATCTCCTTTCTTTTTGCAGAGCAGTCGAGAGAAGACAGAATGACACAAGTGAAGGCGGGCTAGCGCTAAAGATGGCTAGGGCAGTACGGACACACATTTGCAGGGTTGAGGGTCAAAACAGGACACGCGCTGTCAGAGCCACTGAGAAGAAGGAAGGGTGCAACTCAAAGAGCTCCGTTTTGCAACAGCGGCTTGGCTTTGTTGAGCGGATCTAAAAGGACGCACTACGTTGACGTGCTGCTGATGGCTGGATGAAAATCTATATTTCTTGTTGAGCTTGACCAAGTCCCCTGCGCTTCACAGAGGACGTGTAACAAATGAACGTCAGTGCGCTGAGAATTTAAAAATCAGCGAACGTCGCGGGAAAATGACAACTTTGATGTCGGATTCATTCGACTGTCACTGGGTACTTGTCCAACTGACATGGCTGCCCTGGTTCCCCACGTAAAAGAAGCATCAAGGGAAAGACGAGATGGGGGGGAAAAAAAAAAGTGAGCGAGCAGACATTTCCAACGCTTGGTTTAACCTGAAGTTTCCATGATAATTTCTCTACCCATTCCCCGACCCCCACTGCTTTGGCTGGGAGGGCCCCAGCTGTTGGGTCTGTATAAATAGCGTGAGGCTTCGGCCTTGGACCCCCGGGGAGAGCGGGGCTCATCGGAGGGAAAGCAGGGGAACAAATCAGGCTGGAAAAAGCACACAACACACACATTTTGACAAACATATGGGACCATTGCTGGGAATGAAAGCAAGGTACATGTGACTGAAGTTGGACACACGTGGCTGAAGTCACTGACGCGCTCGTAATGCGACAAAGGATGGGGAGGGCAAAAAGCCGTCTCTGGCAGTCTTCAACTATGGCAAAAATGGTTTCTTTCTCCCTGTCATGATAATAAACAAACAAACAAAGTGTAAAATATAGTAAATTAGTTCAGGAGCTCTCGATCACAAGATATGGCATTCAGTCTGTTCACCATTCAACTAAAACATAAAACAAGAGCGGGCCGAAGAAAATCACAGAGCATTTTGTTTCTCCATGACAGCTCGATCTGAATAAAATGTCCAAAGCAGAATGAACACCTTTTTTTCCTCCTTAAAGATTATGTCGGGGATCAGTTCCAGTGTTGTTGGACTCCTTTTGTGACTAACTGTGGATGTGTTCGACAATTGTGGACCTTGACCTTGATTTTGACCGGCCTGGCCTTTGTTGAAGCTCCACACAACAGGCATCAATCAACTGGGGCGGGAATGGGGTGGGACCAACTGAACTGAGCGAGTCTCCACTGCACACCTACAGCGTGCCGGATTCTTCCACGAGATTCCACAGATGGCTGCATCTTGGCCACTGTTTTTCTGGTGAAAAACATATGAATCGCAGTAGCATGATTTGGCGGCATAGCAAATTCTAGCACAAAAAGCTTTCACAGAGATGTAAAATCCATTGCCGTATTTAAGCAGGAGAGCCACTCTCCCCGCCGGCCACCTTCAAGGCATAAAAATACAGTACATGCAGTGCACATGTATTGTTTTACAACAATACGTAACCATTTTTATAAATTCACGTGCCTGTGGATGAAATACAGAAGATTGTGGCAAAAGTTTTTGCATCAGCGAGCTTTGCACAAGCCTGAGAACGATCCTGATTATTTGAATCAGGTGTGTTGGGAGAGGCAAACATCTGTAACGGGCTCCTCTCGAGGACCAGACTTAGTCACCCCTGGTCTATCCTATAAAATATGCTGCACATGGCTACCTATGCACTGTCCAGCTATCTGTGTCCCGTTCCCTCTCCTGTGCCCTCTGTGACCGCCTAGCAACCACGTTTACCCGCTATGATCACCTGTTGCTCCCGACATCGACTTCAATGTTGTGATGCCTGCTCCCTGCGGACCTGCTTCTGTGCCCTGCACTCGTGCCTGTTCGTCAGCCCGTATTACTTTCTGTGCAAGTAGCTTCTATGAGATCCTGTCACCACTGTCCTGTACAACTGTGCCCTGCACAGTGTGAAACTGCGAGTCTCCTGTACAACTGCCACGTTTGGCCCGCAGTCAATGATACCAACGTGCGCAATTGCAAACTCTGGCCACTCTCTATAACCGACCGCCTTTGACCCGTCATACAATCGATGAACTGTCACTCTGTCAATGCCCACTACTTCTGTCTGTGTCCTGTATACTGTAATTGCCTTTGCCCTCAGTGCTACCTCCGACCCTTACGGCTGCCAGCGCTCAGTTCTCCTTCTCGGCTGCTCAATCAGGTGGGTGAGATCAGACACACAAATCGTGTCTGACTCTTCAAACCCCAAATGCCCGCACAGCATTTTCTCTCTTCATTCACATCTGTTTGTTTCCCACTCAACCCAGAGGCGGCCAACACGGTTGCTGAGCACTGCTCTGAACTGAACTGGCTGAATGCTAACTCAGTATGCCCGTGACGTCATCACAAATTGGAGGGGAGCGCTAGCAACTGTCGAAATGTACCTGTAGTGAGTGGACACTAATCATATATGCAGTGCAGTAAACTTGTTAAATATATTGTTGATCTCATTTTTGTGTATCGGTATGCACATTTAAAAAAAAGATTTAAACCTGGATATTACTAGGTAGCCTGCCCTGGGCTGTAGAGAAAATTGTATTTGAAGCGGAATTTTTAAATACAGCTAAGTGAGGTTGTAGGATAAGCACAAGTCTGTGTTGGAATTTGAAAAAAGGCGCCTGTGTGTTGTGAACTCGATGCGAGTATGACATCTGTCAGTGTGCATTGTGACCCCGGGGAGTTGTAGAGCTATTTCTTTTCTTTTGCCTTCCACTTCACAGCCTACAGCACACATTAGCCATGGTGCCTCAGGCACCCACTGCATGCGCGTGCACATGCAAATGCAAAACACACACATCGAGGGTACACAAGAATTGTGCAATTAGAGCATTGTAAGAATGCTTTGGGAAAACAGAGCATGCGGCCACTAGTCGTTTTGTTCAAAATGTGGCCTGTGACCGAATGGCTTCGTTTTGGCTCATGACTCATCATCGACTTGGTAGTCTCGGTTGGTCCGGGAGACTCCCTTTCGAAAGTGAGAGACAATTTCAGACCGCGAGATTTTCTTCCGTTTACCAGACATGTTTTCAGACCATGTGCGCCGTGCCCCGGAAGTACAACAACTTATGAGTCGATCGGTCACGTTGCTAAGCAACAGAGGGGAATGCCATGCTGTACATTTTGTTCATAAGCAAGGTCGAGGCGACAGTTAGCGTAACGAAAGGCCTTTTCACTATTTTGTGTACGTTGGTTCGACTGTACTGACTCAAAACCTCAGGTCAACTCCTCCTTTTTCTCCCCACTCACGCATCACCATAAGTACAATACATCTAAGGAGGAAAAAAAAAGAAATGGAAATAAGTAACCGGGGAGTAAAAAAAAAAAACAAAACCAAGTGACATCTACACATCCTATAAAAGCTTATGCCAGTGCACCATCTGCTCATCTGTTCAGCAGAAGTGGCGGCTTCCAGAGCGGCCAAAGACACCCCAATGCGGGGTGATTGACGGTGCGCGTCTCCCTTCGAAACGGGAATTAAGTTTGGGCAGTAGGAGAGGCGGCAAAATTCTACCAGCCAAGCAGGAAGCGAGTGCCTTGTGTGTTAAGAAGATTTACACTGATGGGTCCATCCACCAACCGTTTGTAACAGCGTAAATTGATTCAGCCAGGGTGTAATCAAGTATTACTTAGAACATAACTATCGAACTACCAACAAATCAAAGTACATTTAAAAATGAATCAAATGAATAATGTTGATACAAATGAGAAAAGAGAAGCAGAGAGAAAAGAAGAATGGCAAAGAAGACAATCAATGCAGTGCCACTTGGTGACGGGAGGACGGGCACTCAAACACACACACACACACACACACACACACACACACACGCACACACACACACACACACACACACACACACACACACACACACACACACACACACACACAGACACACACACAGTGTCCAAAACACAAAAGATTTGTGTGTGGGCATCACTTAGCACTCTGAGATTCCTGTACATCCTTTATATTCATTCGAGTCAAGTTAATTTTGCCTCAAATAACATTTAAGTTCTGCAACTGTAAAATTCAGCCTGCGTTGTGCTTATCTCACACCCTCACCTGTCTTGTGAACTTGATCTTATCTGCTGTATATTCAGACATCATCGCATCGCTGCATTTGCGCTAGACTACTCCTACAGTACAGAGCACATTCTTGATTTACAAAATTAATTGGTCGCCAACAATCATTTCAGAGGTTGTTATTCAGCCATCATCCGTGTGGTGTTCACCTCCACAGATCAGCCTAACATGTTTTTTTTAATTTAATTTTACCTTCCAAGCCCTGCTCTGCTGAGAAAGTGTACATTTAGATAACGTGAACACAAAACAGTCAGGCACAATGAGCTTTGATAAGGCACTGACTTAGGAGGAATACAATGATTAACATATTCAACCCCCTCCCCGCCCCCCAAGCACACACTTAGTTCTTAAAAATACACTTGTTTTTATGCACCTTGTATCTTCATCTCAACGTGTCAGGGAGATTGTGAAATAGAAGAAAGGAACACACCATACCGTATTTCTACCCCTGCCTAAACTCGAGAGTTGACGAGGAGTCTATTCGGACCAAGGCGGTTATACAGTGGCGCCTTCTTTGGACAAATGCATTTTTTTTTTTTTTTAATCTTCTTTCATTATTTGTCGTACCATGTTACAGAGGTGGCCACTTTATCCTATTTTGGCCAAAATCACTTTATATTTTTCATGTCTTAGTGAGAAGCAACTCAACATCAGTATTTCACAACAGAAACTCTGATACAATAATAATAATGACAATAATGTTAACTTTTAGAAATCCATAACTAAAAATGGCATAAGCATCTTGGGCACCGAGAGACATACAACATATGCATTTTTCTTTACCGGCTGGATTGATTGTAAGTGACATGGGTGTCCGTAGGTACTTTGTTATGTTCTCTGACTGTACACTAGGTAGCAGTGTTGCTATAAAAATACTGGTGAGATGAAAAAGGTTCTGCCGTTAAGACAGTGTTTGGCTCCACTCTGGCCTTGTTATTTTGCCTCCCGACACGAACATACTTAGCCGGGTTAAAAACCCACTTCCGTCCTTGCTTAGTCCGTGTTTTTGTGTCTGGTTTTAAGTTCTGCCGGGTTGAGCTTTGCTGATTTCCTTTAATTAGTAATTATGAACTGATTTAATTAGTTATCACCGATTTTTTTATTTTCTTGTTTTTGTTTTGCTCTCCAAAAGTCGTTCATAAGCGTAAAGATTTTGAAGTGAAACTTACTCCCACCTCAATTTCGACAAAGTTATTTGCTTTTCAGCAGTTTATAACTATGCCGGAGATTGCGGTTCAATCGTCCACTCGCACTCTCAGAAGGCTCTGAAAGCAGAAACCTTATCTTCGGGTCTCCAACTACCTCCTTGTATTTAGAACCGAGGGAGAGAGAGAGAGAAGCAAGCAGGAAAGACTGATAATATTCTCGTGTGAAGCTAAAAAAGTGCACGTATTTGAGCTTGTTGAGCCGGAAACGGTGGAGAGGAATAGACAAAATGGCATTATGGAGAGAAGCTCGGCTTCAGACAAGCGTGAATGTCAAAAGAGTGCTGAGGTGTACGTCTGTCATCTTTTTTTTTTTTTTTTTGTTAAGATGGACCGGAGGACTTGGACTAAACGGGGAAAGAATGATGAAGCAAGTGGTGACGAGAGTGCCAACGGAGCCAAATCTCTATTTCGAGTTTCGCCAAAGAGCACGGGCCTCTCTCATTAACACATTTCCTTCTTGACCATATCACTGATCAGAAGCAAAAAAACAAACAAAAAAAAAAAAACATCCCAAGCTCTCATTTATTCAAGCGGAATGTATGAGTCATTTCTGGTGATGTGAACTTTTCAAATGCTGCTAATGAGGAGGGGATTTGTTGAGTGCTTTTTTTTTTTTAAGTGTATATGATCACTGAACTTACCAGGATCCCGGCAACCTGCTTCTCTTCCATCCTTCAGGACCTTGTGGCCAAAGATCCCCGCCTCTCTGATGCTCCCACCGTCTCTCGGGTGAACTCGTCTGCCTCTCGCTATCAAAAGTTGGAAGCTTTTTCCCCGGTGGCCTTTGCTCGAGTGTCTTCACCGTGTCGCGTCACTCTCTCAGTCGCCGTCCCTCCTCTGCCTCTTCAAGTGTTGTTTGGGAATGTCGCTGGAGTGGCGTCGCCGCTTTGTGTTAATTCTGCCCTAATCCAGAAACTTTTCTATGCTGTGAATAGAGCATGTGACAGGCAGAGAGGGACAGGGTGAGTTGAGCCGTGAGGGTTTGAGGTAGGGGGGGCAGATGGTGAGGTGGTTGAAAAGACCGAGGCGACACTTTCCAAACGCATGACCCGCGCTCATTTTCTTGGACCTCATGCTTAGTTCAATTAAGTGACCAGAAAATGGGAAAAAAAATGCACACTCGATCAAATGGTGTGAACGCTGTTCCCTAAGAAAGAACGGGGACAAAGTATTTAAAAAAAAAAAACTGTGGTCATAGATTTGCATTTTCTAGCAAAGCAGCTGCTGTAACAAAGTGGCCTTTTGTGCGATGAGATTAACTGTTGGTGGGGGGGGCAACAACACAGGCTGCTGCTGTACATAAGAGGAATTGGAATGGAAAGCAACATCCCCTCACCGCTAACCCGCTACAAGTATTTAAGATGACAATGACGTGGAGCGTGGTCATTGAGTGTGTCCCTTTGAAGTCATCCGTGACATACCTGGAAAAGTCAAATTCACTTTTTAAAGAGACCAAATGTTCCGAAGATCTATGAATCTCCACTGCCACTTGATCACGATCTGAATGGGGTACGATACAATTCAAGAGTGCAACAATCACATTTGGTTCCATTCAGTGGGATTAGGATTCAATACGACATGGTTAAGGCGCTATTTTTTGTCAAGTGTATTTGGAAATAACAACATGTCAAAGCGCTCCAAAGACCAAACTATTCAAATGAATGAAATCATATGACAGCAAATAGCAACTTCAACTGACTTATACCGGAGAATGCATTCCAAATGGCCAAATCAACACCATCCCAGTAGGCGCAGTTTAAAATCATGATGGAAATGTTTGTCTGTACCACTACTTTCATGTGGTTAAAAATCTGCAGAAATGGCTACTCAATTTCTCAGGGAACAGGATTTGGAAACTACAGTCATTATTGGGAATTATCTTATCAGCAGATATGAATTACTCGACTGTGACGATGGTGTCTACCGTTTCTGACTCCCCAGCAGACTAAAGGATCAAAACCTTTCGCAATGTACCAAAAGTGTTCCGGCAAAAGGGTACGAAAGGGCCCAAATATAGCGACAAACATACGCCAGAGCTAACGGGAACCCATTCATGCCATGAGAAATGCCAATTTACATGGCACACTGCACAGTGATAAAAGATGTCCAGGGACAAAACCAAGCAAGAAAAAAAAAAAAAAGATTCAGTCTTACCAAAAAATTTGAAGAAGGAATCCCAACTTGAGCATCTGACTGGCATGTAGTGACACAGAACAAGTCAAGAGTGAACTGGGCTCCATGCAACGGGTCCACTCCACTAATATGCATGTACCGGTACACAAAGCATGTGCGCACAGTGGAGGCAAGTCGATTGGGCAATTCCGGGAGGAGTGGCAGTGAGAGATTACACTGAACTTCCCTGCAGACCTGATATGTTTGTTACCACGAGAGGTTCTTGTTAACAAATATTAACAGAATGTTTTGTTTTTGTTTTTTTGGGATATCCTACTGCCGTCCAAATACAACATCGAATGGTTAACTGTTGTGGTTGGTTTACGGCAAATGTTATGCTGTGTCAGGAAAAAAAAAAAAAAAAAAAAAAGGCTGCGCTGAAGTGTACAAATCTGTCTACGATATGCTCAGTGGCGCAGGCTAGATGAGGGTTTTCGAGGAGAGGAAATCTCTTGGGGGAAATTAGGAGGCCAATTGTGCAGGTGTGGGGTGGGGGGGCATATGCAGTCAGGTCAAAGACTGAACATCATGGAACGTATCCAATCCAATGCAATGAAACACAGAAAGTAGGAGAGATGAATACGTGTGCCCCCCCTTGATCCTTTTTTCAGGCTGATGCAGCTTTCTGACGCCAAAAGTGTTCACCCCGTGACCTGTCCACCCCAGGAAGCTTGTATTGGAGAAAGACCAAACGTGTGCAGTCGTTGCGACAGAGTCGGGTCTTTCAAATGTTGTCTTTAGCTCACTTTCCATTTTGGAGTATTCCTGATCCAAATACATTGGGTTCTCTAGTTACGAATGCTCCTATTTACGTACATTTCGGGGTTACGTACAACATTTTCTGAGAACATTTTTTTGGACCTACGCTTTTGGATTTGCAATTAGTCTTGGCGTGGACGAACAGATGGATGTACTTTGGATGTTGTAATTCTTCTCATCATCAGCAACGTGCGGAACGCATTTCTGCGATCTCCAACATGAGTGATGGCCCTCAGCGGCTGAATGCGGAACCTGTCGCCCATGTCGGCACGGGGCAACAAATGCAAATACCTTAGTCATGAATGTTCTGCAGTTGTCCCACAAACAGGGAGTCGCGTTACAAAACGGAGCTCTTCTGAACTTTGGATGCTTTTATTTTTCCTCTGAGTGTTTTTCTTAATAATTGCCTTTAAGCAACATTGTTACAATTCCTTTTTGCATATTTTGCCAGCCAATGGCCTTTTGCCATGTGCGCTGCTGCCCCAATCGTTTATGAAGTGAACAAGCAGGCGACCTTCTGAGTGCATCATGATATAACGGGGGCGGGAGTGCATCTGCTTAGGGTTGTGCTTATCTACTACCGTTCATGCATGTGCACCTTCTGTTGACATAGCACCCAGTTCAGCAACCTAGTTGGAACATTGGAGACTCCATTCGCTTGACTGATACTCCGCACAACATAATGTCATCAAAATACATTTTTCACCTCAATTCAATGTTTAGGCATGGCGCTCAATGGCTTTGGCAAGAGCCGTCAACTTGCCTCTGAACATCATGTGATCCTATTTTGGATCTCTTTTGAGTACAAAATCAAGACCGCCGGGATCGGCTCCAGCACACGGGGCGACGCTTGTGAAGATGAGCGGTTCTGAAAAATGGATGGATGGATAAAATTTGTAGCACGCCAAGCTACCGTTGAAACAATTATTACAATGCAAATTTGTCTACATCCTGCGATATGAAACGCAAACCAGCTAGAAGTGCTCTTTTTTTTTTGTTGTTGTTGTTTTTGACTGTTCGAGTACGGCTCCGAGGTAGGTGAGCACCTCTCACGTCAGTGACGTCACATCACTCATCAGCTTTCCGCACCACACAGATGTGCGGAACACGTGTTGAGAATCCCTTCATTCCTTCTGCACAATCCCTTTGTAATTAACCGTGTGTGATTATGACTGTGATAGAGCCTAATTACAATCCATGACTGTAAGATTGATGACTGAAACTGTTTCTTTTTTTTCTTTTTTTTTTTTTGCCAATGAGTTGAAAAACCAGTGCTGGCGTTTTCCTTTGATGAGGGACACTTGCTGGCAAATAATGGAATATCTCTCCCATTTTGTTTTTTCATTGAGCCATGTGGTGGGAAAAGATTCAATTAGCATGTGTTAAACCAGTGTAACAATTTTGTTTCACCATGTGAGTTTCTCAGCAAGAGATCCTTGCATGACACCTGTTGACACTTGATACACACACACACACACACATACACAGAGTTGTGTGTATCTTCTATTCTAACCAATGGCCATGATGGGATCTAAAAATGAGGCTGCAACTTTATAAATCCATACATAAATGAATTCATAATTTATGACATAGTGTACATCCATACATACATGAATTCATTGAATTATGACATACATACATAGATACATTTGAAACACACACACACACACACACACACACACACACACACACACACACACACACACACGCACTACATTACATTCTAAGGCAGAGGGTGAAAGTCCAAAAGTATGTTCTTACTGTTATGACGAGTCCTCCACTTATGCGACATATTTTATGTGTTTCCGTCAATATTTCTTACAAGTTGCGTCATCTTGGCTCCCTTGCCCTCTTCGACCACCGCCGGGTCAACAAATTCCAAGCCCCTCCTTTTACAACTCTGGGGGGCGGCTGAGTGTGGAGTGCACGCGTAGTCCGCGCACGGCAGCCGCTGGCGCGCACGCCGTCGGGGACGCTTCTCTCTCATTTGCAGTAGGCTTCCGATTCATGTGTGAAAAAACTCGCCAATACTGAAATCAACTGCAATGTATGTGCATTTGAGGTGAAAACAAAACTACATCCAATACGTATTGTGGCCTCGAATAGCCTACTTGGGTTGGGTGGCGCGACACGTGTTCCGGTGGTTGAATGCCCGCAGGATGGCTCGCTCATCCTTTTGTTGAACGGGCGATGAAATGCGTCTTGTGTGCAAAATAGCTTTTGTGGCGCGGGTGTCGGCGGCAGCGAGTTTGCGCCTTCGTTCCGAAGACACGGGAAGCAGCGCATCTTGCGGATCGATGAATGCGTCAACCAATGCCGCGGACAGGTGCGGTCGCCCGGGGCGGCCGTCCGTGCACGGAAACGTCGCTGTGTCATGGATTGCGCGAATGGTGGCGGATGCACAACACACAATGACATGACTCTGCGAGGTTTTGGCATGCAGATCTGGGGTTTTACCTTGGTGTTTTTTTTAAGGAGCGACCGGGTTAGAGAATGTTTGCGTGCGTGACGCTGCTGGCGCGCGGATGGTCAGAAGGTGGGGTGAGAGGACTGAGGAGGAGGCGACGGCTCTGACCATTTAGCGGCGCTCGGATGTTGCAGTGAGGGTGGGGGTTTGGGGGGGCATGCACATGTCATGTCAAAAATCACGTTGAACTCCTCGAACATCTGGTCTGTGGACATATCAAAGAATTCGTCAAAAATACCAAGTTGGAAGTGGATTGAATTATGTAGAAAAGACGATGGGGGCAAGTCCAAACCTAATTCCGAAGAAGTTGGAACGTTGTGCAAAAGTTAAATCAGTGTTTGCCGGTCTTTTCAACCGACTCGATGTTCAATTGAATATACTGTACTGCAAGGCAAGATATTTCACCCATCCATCCATTTTGTCATGATCTTCTCCTCACGAGGGTCGCGGGCGTGTCAGAGCCTATCCGAGCCGTCTTCGGGCACGAGGAGGGGGACACCCTGAACGGGTCGCCGCCGATCGCAAGGCACACATAGACCAACAACCAAGACCAACAACAGACCAGACTGGGAAACTTGAGGAATGCAAATAAATACCTTAATAAAGGGCATCCATTTTTTTCAATGCAAATTATATGAATGTACTGTAGTTGTTTTGGGTTTTCTTTCCACAAGCTAAAGTTCAGCTTTCAACAGCTGTGGTTGTGCATTTCTAAGATTCGTTGTGTGAGTTGTCCTCGCGTCTTCATTGTCTTTTGGAATTTTCAAATGTACTGCCCCTGTCATACATGAAATCATGAATGGCGATGATGAAAAACAAATCTCCATAAAAGAAGTTAAATTGGTCGATAGGAGAATCAATCTCAATGTGTGAAAAGGAGTGAAATCGCTGTAAAAAAATGACGTGTTCAGCTGAACCTCGGTGGACATCTAGTGGTGAAATGACAGAATGCAGCCATGCGATGCAAACTGCATACCTGTGCCTCTTGTTAAAATAGAAAAAAATCTTTGAAAAAAATCATTTATCTCAAGGCTCCACGAAACAAATTAAAATAATATATTCTATATAGTTTGGATCTATCACTTCCACTTTGTTTTTCATTAAAAGCGTGGGGAAATGCTTTCCAGAAAGCCAATTCCTATCTTATTTCTTTTCAAAATCGTTTTCATTGTTTCTTATGAAATATTCCAGTTTTTTTCCGATGTTATATTTGAATTAACTGTAAGCTATACCTATCAAAAGCTTAATGAGTGGATGTAGTAATTTTAAAATTCAATACTGAAATGTCGTTTTTCAATATGTGGTGATATGCCTCAATGAGTTTCATTTTTGGAATTGTACCCCTGAATTTAATTAAACTGTCAATGACATTCTAATTTATTGAGATTTACACTGAAAAATGGTGTGTGGAATTTACTCAGATTTATTTTCTCAAGTGGCTGCACGTCACAGGATCAACTCAACTTAATATAAATTCTAAGTACATGTAGAGTCAACTGATTTGGGTTTACAGCAATCATCTTGCAACCTTCACACTTTTAACGTGAAACGTTTTGGGGAAATATATTTAAGACAAGAGGTGCAGCAATGTTTGCATGGCTCTTACACTCTATGTATGATTTTATGGGTGGTGAAGATGATGAGCCTCTTTTTTGCTGTTTTTTTTTTTTTTTTTGTCATGTACAGATGTGTGCGCCAAATTTGACTTGTGTATCTGCGTTTGTGAGTGTTTATTGGGTACGGTAGAAAAGTAATTCGCTGTGAAGCTTGTGGATTTTTTTTACCACTAGGTGTCACTGTGACGTTTGTTACGTCAGAAACCGGAAACGGAAATGATTTTAATAGCACCAATATGGAGGGAGTTTGAAAGAGAAAAGAAGCGCTTCATTCCTTGTTAGAAACAAT